TGGGCTCGCGCCCCCCTTGTAGAGTTATCACACCCCTCTAGGGGGCTCGCCCCACAATTTGAGAAACGCTGGTATAAGCACTTAGTGAGGGGAAAAAGCACATATTTACAAAGGAGAGACACCACCATCCACATCCAAAACTGGCGTGCATCAGAAAAAGGTTATGTTGACTTTTTGGTTAGACAGCAATGGTATAGTGCACTATGAGTTGCTGTAAAAAATGAAACGGTCCTTACTGTTCGTAATTTGATGTTTTGAATAAAGATATTAAGCAGGAACGTCCATCTTTTGCCAGCAGAAAGAGTGTGATTCTTTATAATGATAACGCCCGACTACATGTGGCAAGAAGCACCACATAAAAAATTGAAGAGTTTGGTTGGGAAACTTTACCTCAGCATGCACATACTCTTGATATTGTACCATCTGACTACCAACTGTTCAAGTTGTTGGAAAACTTTCTTAGTGGAAATTAATATGTAAATTATGAGGGTGTCCAAATGGCAGTGGTAGAATACTTTGTCTGTAAAACAAAGGGCTTTTTATGAGGGATTTAAATGTGCTGCCTGAAGCTGAGTGGCTGATTGGTTAGTGCATCGCGCTTCCACACCACAGGTCCCAGGTTCAAACCCCGGGCTGTTCAAGGTTGACTTAGCCCTTCGTCCCTTCAGTGGGTCGAGAAATGAGTACCAAGCTTGCTTAGGATCTTAACATCGGGGGTTTCACGTCAGACTGACCACCTGATCGGAATATCTGTTCATGCAACTCAGGGCCCGGAGGTTGCGTATGCTGAGTTGGTCACAGTAGGACTTGGCCCTCATGGGCTGTAGCGTCTCTCTCTCTCTCTCACACTCAGTTAAGTTAAATAAGCTGCCAAATGTAACTAAGAAAGGACAATATATATGTTTTAGGTTAAACTTTAAATTAAAAGTGAAAAAAAAATGTTTTGTTCTTTTTTTAGAAAAAAAAGTGTGTGTGTACTTATGTACGCACGTAAGAAGTTATACTTCTTTGGCGTAACAAGATTAAAATCTTTCTAAAAATCTTTAGCAGGGCAAGCTGGGCAAAGGTCGAAAGGTGGTCACGAGCAGAGTTGAACGATACTAACCTTCAGTCAATCGGACCAGCCAAACCTGAGATAATCACGATTTAAATAAATATAAACACCCCCGCACATTGACAATAGGAACAATAATATGGGGAGGGGGTCGAAGGCGGGAATGATCTGTCCCGTTCTGCATATTTCTAGACAAAGCATTTTCGTTTCCGTTCCTACGGAACGCAAAGCAAAGATTCGCTGACGCGGAGGTATAGCTGAGTGGTAGAGCATTCGACTGCAGATCGTGTGGTTCCCGGTTCAAACCCGTGTGTCCCCTTCTTCAGGGATGTGAAGAGAATTATTTTTCTGAGAATTTCGAAGGCGGGAGTGATTTGTCCCGTTCTGTATATTTCTAGACAAAGGATATTCGCATCCGTGACGGTGTGCGTCACATCCGTGACGGTTTGGCGTCACATCCGTGACGGGGTGGGCGCGCATTGTAAAAATTTACCGTCATCCTATTTCTCTAACGCCCCAAATGAAGTATAACTTCAAAAACGCGCGCGACAGAATTTTCCCTTAACACAAATATAATATAAAAGTCATCGGCACAAACATAATTTCGTGAGTTTTTCAAAAAACACAATCCTTCATTTGTTTACTTCATTCAATATCTAAACGCGAATGCAAAACTGATTAAAGTAATTCTGGATATCAATAAATATCAATTTAAATGTTAAAGAAATTCAGCAAACTAACAGGATGGGAACTAAACGATCAAAATTATACAATCAAGTTTCATTTGTGTGTGAATTCTTTGCCAAATTCCAATCTGGAAATTTTCACTGTGTGTCCCGTTAACAACAGTATTAAGTGAGTTTTTAAAAACACACATAGCAAAAGAAAAAAAAAAAACTGTATTCAAGTAAATGTTTAACTTCGTAAATTGCTTCAAATTCCTCTGTCTTTTCGAAAGACACCCCTGTTGTATTTTGTTCACTCTAAACAAAAGATAAAAAGAGACACCTCGTTAATCTTTCAACGACAGCAGGTTTGTGTTTGTTGAGAGTAAAAAGTAACGCTCTTTCAATTGAATTGTGGTTGGTGGCAGAATAAGTTAATTCAATTGTTGTAATTAATATGGAATTTCTGCAGATGCCGTTTTGAAGTAATTCGATTATTTTAACGAATGCTGTAATATCAAATTTCATTAAGTTTGAATAGAAACACCGTCGGTTGCCAATATAAATAATTAGTTCTATAAAAATGGGAATTTGTTTTATGTGTGTTTTGTTTTGAAATTTAAAAAAAAAACCTTAAAAATAGTATTTTTAATGTAATGAAGTTTTATATATCATCCTTATAAAAATTGAGTGAAATATTTTGCTAATTTAGCTTTAAGTCATTTTAGTTTTAATTCTTCTTTCAAACTTAGGCTTATAAGAAAAGAAAATTTCATAAAAGACAAATTAATAATAAAATTTATAAATAACTAGATTTTATTTAATTTGATAAAAAAGTATACTTTTAAAAATTTTAAGTTTTTTTTTTTTTTTTCAACTAAGAGACTGTCTCCGAGGTTCAAACCCCGAGCTGGGCAAGGTTGACTCAGTCTTTAATCCCTTCAGTGGGTTGATAAATAAGCACCAAGCTTACTTGGGAACTTAAAACTGGGGTTTCGCGTGAGACTGACCACACACACCTGACTTGAACATCTGCTTATGCCCCTCAGGACCCAAGGTCACGTATACTGAGTTGGGCCTTGGCCCTCATGAGCTGTCGCGCCACTGAGTTAAGTTAAGAGACAATCTATGGGAAAATCAAGAATTAATTACATTACAAGTCAAAGAAAGTCTAAAATTAAACTTAAAATTTGACGTTAGCTTAGTGATTTTAAACTTGGGTTTTCTCTCTGATTTACATTATTCAGTTACTTTCGTTTACACATATATTGAAAAAAAAAATTCGAGTAATAGAAATTCTTAAATGGCTGATTTATACATTATATTGTTCTTTTTTTCTAATTTCTTTCCTAAGTCTCATTATAAAAAAGATTATGAGATTTATTCGTAAGCTATTAAAAGAAATTATGTTTCTGGATAAACCCTAAGATCTTTCACTTTTATTTAATTGCTCAATTGTAATTTTTAAGAAAATATGTTGCCTTAGGTGGTTATAAACATGAATATTGAGCATTCCCAATTTTGTGTTAGGGGTTAACAGTTGGCAATAAGTAGTCTTTTTAGAAAAAAATCATATTTAATGAGATACAAATATGTAATGGTAATTAATAAAAGCATTTAAAATTCTTAGTTCAAATTATAATGAAGCAAAATAACCTATTTTTAAATATAGAAAGGGCTCATAGCGGATTACGTAAATATAATTATTTTTTAAATGTAAGCAATAATAGTAAAATTTAACACTGTAATAGTACTACTACGACTCTACTACTAATAGAACAACAAACTATAGCTCAATAGTAAAACTGAACTTATTTTTATTTCATGAAAAATAATTCAAACGATCCCCTTAGAAGTTTGTTAAGTTAAACAAACATTTTAAAAGTTTATTTGAAGCACAATTTTATGCCAGAGTAGAAAAAAAAAGGAAATATGTGTATTTTTAAATATTCAAATTAACTCACTGCGGCAGAATTTTTAATTTCAGCTTTAAAAAAATAATCCATAACTAGATTGATCTGCATATGCTTCGGAGAAAAAAATGTTCCTTTAAAACCAACCATGTCAATATTCGCCTGTTTAAGTAAATTAATAATTGAGATGGAATTCTGAAACACCTGTTTTAAGAAAACTCAACTTTAAGCATACTCCAGAAATTCTGCATTGACTGAAATTGTAATATGAACATCAAAGCATAGGCAAGGAATTCATTTGAATAACATGTTTTTGGTAGTGTGTGTGACAGGATGATATATATCCAATAAGTACAACAAATTACTTACGAGGAATCGCAATAACCTTCTCACTATTAAATCCGATCAATCAAATGTATTAAATAGGAAGATGATGTTTGCTTTAGCATCAAAGCTCTGAGTAACATGGATTGCTTATATTAGCGCATAAGATATTTCGTATATATATGGAAATTATTTCTGCCTAAAACAAACAAAAAAATAGAGAAAAAACAAGCATGGTGTAACTTCGAAAGAGGAAATATTACAAGACTAAACACGTTTCTAAATGGACCAAAGAAGACGGGGGATGTACTTTGACCTTTTTAAAATTGTTGAAGCAAATTAATGTGATAATCTTCACAGAACAAGCCTATCAATGTTTTCTTTGCGTCTAAGTGTTTAGACACTTCTCTGCAGCTGAAAAGAAGCAACCTTAAAGCATAGTTGTTAATAAAAAAAATTAACAGCATATAAATTGTATAGAATTTGAAAGTGACAATGAGAATCGATCCATTCTCAAAAAGTTAGAGAAAAAATTACTATCAATGTTTCATATATGAGAAAGCACACTGTATATTTATCCCAAGTTTTCGAAAGTCCTCAGTTACTGCTTTGTAGTGGTTACTAGTTGTATTTTTTTTATTTCCTTGTTACTTCTAAGGCATCGTTTATTCTGAAACAAAACAGTCTGTTTTGTTTATAATTGATTAAAAAGCTTTTTTTATTCCCCCATATTTTGTCAAATACATCGTAAGCATTTTAAAGGAATTCACATTTACATGTGAATGAGTAATAAATCTACTCTGTTCTTACTTCTAGCTCTCTCTATTCTTTTTTTCAATTCCTACTATTAATTTTCATTCTCCCTATATATGCATATGTCTATCTTGTTCAAGTTTTCAATCGCTAATAAACTACTTTTTATTCACCAACTCAAGTTCAAATACGTTTTTTCTCCAAATATTAATTCATTAATTAATGAATAAATAGTAACAAACAACAAATGATAGTCCAACACCATATATAAAAAGGAAAATCTCTCGTTGTGTCTTGGAAGCGCAATGGATAGTGCGTTGGACTTCCGATTCAAACATAGTGGGTTCGAATCCTACCTGAGATGGCCTAATTTCTGAGAATGTGATTTATGAATGTAGTAGTAACATGTGATTTATGAATGTAATGTTATTATGAATGTAATAGTTCAGCATCATATATAGAAAGGTAAGTGGAAATTCGCTTTCTATTTTGCCACTTAAAATTGTGATTCTGTTATATGTATATACATATGCATATGAATTGTAATTATTTAATATAAGTAAATAACATTAAACTTTTCTTTGTTGACCTAAGTAGGAATTGACTTTTAATTTTTTTTATATTACTTGTTTTCTAAGCCTTTAAGAGAGTGGATATTTTTAGGAAAGATATATACAATTTTTATATATCTTTCTTCATGACAGTGCTATAATATTTTTCTATGTCTGCTATACGTTAAGATATGAGCTATCCAATATACCAACAAAAAATTAGACACATTTTTTTTATATAAATCTAATATATCCCAGACTAAGTATAACGTTTACAATCCAAGATATGAGTACATCTCACCTCTGGGTAACAAACAAGTTACATTTCGACTAACCGAATTTCTTTTTCACTGTTTATCTTTTGTAATTTTTATGTCATTGATGACCCGTTTATGTTTCCCCCTCAAAAATCACTTTCTATTCTATATTAAGACAAAGTTTATGAAATTTCATACTCACAAATAACCGAAAACTAAGGAATATGTCATAAGTCATGCATTTATATCTCATCAATATATCTAATAAACTCACTGCCTATAAAAATGGTCGATATAGAAATAGCTATTTTTGGACAACATATGAGACATAACCCCGGGACATATAATCCCAGTCAGTTTCTGTGGAACTTATGGATGATATTTGTGAGAAAATAATATCTTGGATCACACACAACGTTTCCATAATTTAATAGTTGTTCAAGTAAAAATTATCTTTAGAAAATAATAGATTTACATATGTTTGTTTTACGTTGTAGGAAATCTAAAATAATAACGTAGCTAGAAATAATTTTTAAAAAATCATTGAAATATTAAAATGTGAATCATAATAATATGAGAATATTTAGCATTCGAAAATAATAATATATAATATATGTTTCAGAAAATAATTTTTATATGAAAAGAAGTAGCATGCTTTTAAAAATAGTGCATTCGAAAGGAAATAGCATCAAAAGAAATTCAAATAGTCCTTGTAACATTTATTGTTGCCATGGTGTTTTTCTTAAATAAGAACTTACAAACTTTAAAAAATAAAGGAGAAATAAAGAATCTCGGAAATAAATAAACAACTTTACTCAATACCAATTATTTCTCATAAACAATTACAACAGTCAAATAGATGAAGTACCCTCATAACACGTATAAGCATTTCGCTGAACTAAAATTACTTACAAATAAATACATCTAATCCCAAAAGTGAAGATAATCCAAAGCGTAATCACTGTAACTGCCTCCCAGTCATAAAACTAAATACTACACTGATGAAAAATTTCTCTCCAGTTGCCTCAGATTTGGATAAGGCCGCTCTTTTTTCTAAGATATTCAACATATTTTACATTATGAACATTCTATACTACTTTGATTTCGAATAATGTATTACTTGTTCTATGTCTGCTTATTTTTTATATTTTCTCTTATCTTTCCAATACAATTATAAGGATTTGGTTGTTTATTTCCTCATACAATGATAATGATGAGGTAACATGATGAAGTAATATTTTTTCCATAGCTTCGTAGGTTCTTAAAAGCAAATTTAAACTTGTATAAACATTTCTGCATTAAATATAAGCAAAAACTAAATAATAATAATAATTTACTTTATGAGAAAAATATGCCAGTTTTAATATTTTTCAATTCTTTCATTTTATAATTATATATTAATAAACTTTCTCTCTCTATATATAATACTGCACAACATATATATATATATATATATATATATATTTAAATTCTATTATTTTTATAATTTCTAATATATCTTTTTTTTCTTAATTCTAATATCTGGTTTATAATGCAATTTCTGTTTTTGTATCCTTCAGCAATAGTGATTATTAATGATCCATGTCCTATAATATAGAGAATATTAACTATATATATATTTCAAAACTTCAAAAACTTAAACGACAACTAATTGGAATTTAACATAAAAATGAGACACAATTCAATGTGTCTTTCCCTTTTTAACAGCATTATTCCAATTTTTGAATTATTTAATTATCTTTTGACCAAAATAGTAATCATTTTTGTGGTTTAATATTTCCTTTTGTAGTTAAACAATCAAACTTATAAGCTGTCACAAATTTAAGAAAAAATATCAAATTAAATAAGATGTCTTCTTTAGAATACACATTTCTCCAGGAGAAATAATCTAATATAGAAATGTAATTCTTTAAATTTGTTTCTGAGGTTGGAGAAGCTTTTATCAAAAACTAAAATATTCACAGCAGATTTGATGGAAATAAGTTTATATTGTTGCACGTAATAGGAACAACAAAGGAAACACTCTTTTGGAAAAAGCACAACAGCATTGAAAGGAATGCTTTTTGCAAAATTTCTTTCTATTCAAAAGGGATCAAATTGCAAACAGAGATCCAAACTCGAAGACAAAAAATACTTCTAAAATCCGTCAAATTCCCATTTCATCTATTTGAAAGGGGAAAAGAAAAATCAGTATCTTATGGATTTCTTGTTTCTTTTTTCTCAAAGGCATTTTTATCATTCCTTTCAAAGTGAAACCGACAATCAATCGTAAATAGATTTAAATGAAAAACAGTATTAAATCGCACCACTGTTTTTGTCGCCTTTTAAAAACAGGGATATCAGAAATTCCTTGCGTGTTACTGAAACAGATAAAATGTATTGTTTTGCAGTTTTTATAAAGATAAAAACTGAATACTTGGTAAACATGTTTTTATCATTGAAAAACATGTTTAATTTTATTTTCCAATATTTTTCTTTTCTTTCAATATTAACTGAAAACTATACCTACAAATAAATCAGACAACCAAAAAATGAATTGACTTAAAAATTTATTTTCAGTAAAACCCTTAAAAAAAAAAAGTCTCAGATGTAAACTGTTAAATTTTCACACAATTTATTTTTCATTTAAAACTCTTCTTATTTTCGATTAAAGTTAAACCATGAAACTATTTGATTTTTATACTTATGAAATTGTTTTCGGCATTCAATAAAGTTAAGAAGACTTTTGTATGATGTGACCTTTTTCAATTTATTTATTACACTTTGTGGATTCGTTTAAATAAAATGCATACCCTCACACACTTATATATTGTGTGTTCGAGTGCATGAACTAATTTTTTTTTATTTTCACTACATTACCAATATGCTATTAGTGATCTTAACTGCATGACACTTTAGAGATATTTAGTTAAAATTCTCCATAGTTTCGGATCGAAGTTTTACCTATCTTTACTTTTGTTTACTTAGAAGTGTTCCTTTTCTGAATCTAAATATCTTTTTCCTTACAAACAAAATATATAAACTTTATTTTAATATAATATTTTGCATTAAAAGTAAAAAAAAAAATTGCGAAAGAAGATAGAATAAGTGTGCGGACTTTGAAAAACAAATCATTACCAGGTATTCATGTAGGTAAAAAATGTCTCATTATTCATTTATATATAAAAAACAACTTTTCGCATCGAATCGGAACTTTGCCCTAAATGAAAAGAAAAATTAATTGCAATATTCCATAAGTCTTAATCTTTGTCCACGATGTTCTATTACACTAACACCGTAGGAAGATTCATTTTACATTTTGAATTACCCGACTTGTGAAGATATGGTCATGTTATTTGAAGTTTATCGTTCTATGTATTTTTATGAATCTCATCGTTCAAACGAGAAAAAAATCAAGTAATCAGCTTTCCTGTAAATAGAGCAAAGGTCAATAGCGGATGGGGTGATCGTTGCAATAAAATCAATAGAGCGATAGGGGCAGCAAGATGACATTGTAATCCGATGACAACACGAATCCCTGCCGACAAAGCCTCACTACAGCTTTTTTACTCGGGCGTATTATGGACGAGTCACATAAATCTTCATTAGTTCGCTGCTTTGTCAGAGAAAGGCTCTATAATAAGAAGATTGTACCATACGATATTTTTAGTAAAACACGACATTATCCGGCTCATAGAATTCAGAGGGGAATCGACCAGTCTTTAGCCTTTTATTATGTTGGAAGAATCCTGTTTCCACTAAATTGAACAGTAACTGGGATTTTGATTCAGGATGTCTTGTTTACATGACCCTTTTATAGAGGTCGGAAATCATAACATGAACGTTTTTTTAATAACCTTTGGGTACTAAATGACACACATATAGTCATGCAAATTGTCAAATAAGAAGAAAGGATTACATAACAAAATATATATTTTTTCATTACGTGTAAGGAGTTAATTACAACTTCTTTTTAAAATCGAGTTTTATATTCCACGCAAAAAAATTTCAAAAAAAGATATGTTTTTTGAATACATTATGCATCAAATTTTTTTAAGCAATTTACTTACTTTTAACCTATTTTTGAAGTATTAAGACAATTTTTGGAAATGCTCCATTGAGAAGTAACTAATTTTTTTTTTCTTTTTTAAAAGTGGTTTCTTGCTTAAAAACCACTGTCAGGACCCTGCGTTTATTTTTAATTACTCATAAATGTTGTCTTCAAGAAAAACATCTTTAAAATAAAGAATGAATTAATAATAAAAAAATCTTGATTATTTAATAGACTTATTTTTATTTTGTATGTTAATTATACATTTAAAAAAAAATTACCAATAGGCTCTTTTTTTAAGCACCTAGCGTATGAAAAATACTTATTTCATTTTGATGAGCTCATTACTGCTTCAAGTCTATAAACATTCATGGTGTCTGAAAGTTTTCGTAACATTTAATTCTAGCCTGCTTGTATCCGTAGTATTTTCATTTATATCAAATACGACATATAGTGCTTAAAAAAAACTGTCACAGAAATAAGTCAGTCTTAACTATCACTGCTATTTTTTTTACTCTTCATCTTT